TAGCTGCTGGTTGAGGTGATCCACTGAGAATATTTTTTTTGCTGGAATTTGGATTTGAGACATGGGATTTGTCCTTGGCTTTCCAATATCCGAATTCCAACCCAGCTCAGTTTGAGCCAGCATCACCTGTGCTGCTCAGGGGTGCTCCAGCATCCCACATCCACTCCTGCTCTGGAATAAAATAAAGGGAAAGAGGAAAAAATTGCAGTTCAGGTGTTTTCCAAGTGTCACAGCACCATCCACATGAACAGACAGAGCTGTTTGTCGCGAATTACAGAGCTTTGCAGCATTTTGTAGGATTGGCTGGGCAGAGGGTTTACCCACCTTGGAGCTGTGAGGATTGCAGAGAGTYTTTAATTGGCAGCAGAGTTTGGGAGGAAAGTTTTGGAGGGGGAAATGGAGAGGAAAAGTCATAAATTTGGTTTGGTTTCACATCTCTGAGATCTTTGGGAAGGGAACAAATCAGGGATCTGAGGGGTTTGTGTCCAGGAGCTAGATCCCCATTTGGGGATCTGCATAAGCCTCACACACTTTATTTTCACTCTTTATTTTCAATTACTCACATATTTTTACCACCTGTTTTGAGGTTGGTTTTTTTTTTCCTTCCTATACTTTCTGGTATTTAGGCTGCTCTGATGCAGGGCTCAGTCTCAATCTCCTCAGAATAGAGATAATAATGGACAAGTCATTCAGGCTCTCATGTGCCATTAATGATGAATTACACAGCCTGCACCAGGTCATCAGCTGCTCACAATTGGCTTAGGAGCTCTGGAATCAATATGCACCAGCCGAGAATTGGATTCTGGATATGTATTAGCACCTCATTTGCTTGAGTCTTTTTGGTTGTTTTGAGCTCACAGACGATTGCAGAGTCCTACAGGTTTATTGCTGGTTTATTTCTCGTATTTCTCCCTGAYTTCTGAGGGTTTGTTCCTCATTTCTGAGGTGATGCATCATCACCTGCCACATCATTTCATTTTCAAATGTCTCTTAGGACATGATTTCCAGTTCCAACTTTTGCCTTTCAATTTATTACAATGAAGGACAGATTGCCTCTGGATTTTTTTTCTTTTTTGTTTTAGAGAAGTAAGAATCTATTTGGGCATAKTTTCCTACTCGCTTGGTTTTTACTSWYCCACTTTGTGTGGGTGAAAATTGAAAGGTGATCAAAAGTAAACAGGGTTTTTTCTCACTATTTCCATCCCTTTTCTTCTGTCCCCCTGAGTACAAATTCCAGACAGCTCTCATCTCCTMGGAGGGGGGGATTTTCCTTTAAAGCAATCCTTATGTAAGAGTCGTACTTATATCTCTCAGCTTTTTCTTTCACTTTATAGATTTAGCAGATGAATTTTGCTTGCAACTCTGATGAATTCTTAATCAGCTCCCTGTTTTTCCCCCAGCATATTTCCAAGGCCAGCACTATCTTAAGCACTCCAAACAGGGCCAAAATATTCCCAGACCCATCCCGTAAAAAAAAATTCCTCTTTGGTCAGCGCCACTGAAACGATCCAAAGGACCTTTTTCTAGCCAGGTCACAAATTAAAACCWTGTCATTATCTCAGAGAACGTCTCTGCACCGGGAAATGTTGTAGAGGGGAGCTGATTTGAATTATTKTAATTATCATTCCTGAGATCTCGTGCCTTGGTCCGGTCCCCAACGGGCGCCTGTCAGGTTTCATTAGGATGTGGCGACTCTCCTTTGGTGGCTCAAACACATTTTCTGCGTGAGCCAGGCCCTGAGAATTCCCCAGGATGAAGTCAGGAGCTCCTCTCTGCACTGAACTGTTGAAAGGAGAGCTTGACCTAATTAGCAAAGGCTCCCRACGAGCAGAGGAGAAGGAGCTCCTGCGAAACAAAGCGCTCCACGCTTTTCACTGAGATTCTTTCCTGACCTCTGCTGCTCCTCCTGGAGTTGTCTGCACTGTGAATGGCTCTGGGATAGAAAAYTTAACCAGTTGGAYTRAATTCTGGAAGGGTGTGATGCCTTAGGATTTTTAGTTTCTCTATTTTCATGCATCTGTATTCTTGTACTTCCCTAGTACAGCGCTAAAACTAGCGTTCTTTCATCTTTAGACAAAACAATTCCTCTCTGAGCTGAATCCAAGGACACCTCACTGCCTGAGAGCCCCAAAATATGGAAACAACAGTGAGCTGGGGGGGAGCAAGTTTAGGGTAATTGACATCATCACCTAAAAAGATCATTGAAGAATTAAGACCCAATATGTTAATAAGGCAGAACTTATAAAAGGTGAAGATCTCGTGACTCAGGGTCCATTTTGGGTGTAGCCTCAGGAGGGGGGTTTTGTCTGTCCTAATGTACCAGTAGCCCTGTTAGGCCTGGATTAAAGTTGTGTATTCTCATTCTCTTAAGTTTGTCTGGCCTCTCTTTCAGATTAGCCTGATTGATAAGGCATGAGGTGAAGGGTGATGTGGGGTGGAGGCTGAGCCTCGTGGGTGCTGCACGCTGGGTGATGTGAATTTGGGGATGGCACCTCTCCACCTTTCAATCTCAGCACTCCGGGCTTGAGTTGGGATGAACAACCCACAAACTACCCCAAAAAATGCCTTTGGGACAGAATTCCTCTTATTTGGGGAGTCTGTATGAAATGAGGATGAATTCTGAATTTTCTTCCCTCCTCTCCAGGGGAGTTCTCTTTGTTTTCACACACTAATGTTACAGAGCACAGCCTTCCCTTCATGGCTTTTCTTGATTTGCAGATTATTTCCCGTTGTTTTGTCTGGGTGGGTTTTTTCTTTTTTTGTTTTGTTTTCATGTGGGAAATCTGTAAAACAGCGCTGCAAGAATAAAACAGGCAAATGGATCTGTGTGGGTTTTATAGAGCTCCTTTCATGGGATCATAAAATTCCCTTCAAAATGATGAGTTAGATGCTGTTAGAATAGTAAATATGTAAATTCCTGAGTAATTTGCAAATGTCCTTGAGCCACTGAACCCGCTGCAATTGCTCGGCTCGATGGAATTGTTCGAGTTCTGACTCCAGATGACAGAAATGCCTTTCATCTTCCCTCATTTAAAGGCTTTCCCTTTCGTGTCTCTTCAGACACAGACAATAAACAGGCTTAAAATATTACGGGGGCAGGAGGGGCAGCCAGAGAAATAAACACTGCTCACTTCTCCTTTTATTTCTGCATTGTCAGGATGCTCAGTTCACCCTTTTTTTTTTTTTTTTTTTTTTTTTTGGGAATCTCTTGGAGTTGAATGCTGTGGAAAACTCTCCAGCTTTCTCTGTGCTCTGTAGGCACGTCCAGGGTGCCAGGGATGGGGTTAAACACACCCTGAACTCTCTGAATGTGTATTTCCAGCATCACATCACCACTGTTTTGGGTATAATCACACCAATTTGCCATTTTGAGATGGTGTTTTTTCACTTTATCCTTTCAAACCCATCCCTGGCCTGTGGCCCTGTCTGAAGGAGATTTGTAAACTTGTTACCTGTCTTTGAGAAATCTTAATATTWTCTTTTATCTGATTACACTGGGAAAAGTATTAATCGGGTTCTTGGAGACCTCTGCTGGTAATACCATCCTGTTAAGGGAGAGGTTCTTGTATCAAAACAGGGCAAATGCCCGTTAAAAAAAAATCTGAACTCGTTCTATTGTTTAATGGGACTTTCTGAAAAGTATTGTCGATGTTAGAATAGGATACATTAAGGTATTAATAATGAGATTTTATATAGATACGATTGTATATTGTAGATACTGTAGATAATGTAGAAATTAATTCTTAAGAAAGTCTAAGGTTTTTATGGTCTTCAAAAAAATGTGGCAATTTTAGTGGAATTTGATTTGCATTTGGAGTCTGGCTAAACTTAAACCTTGTTTAAACAASGAAAAAGCCACCAAACGGAGCAGAAATATGTGAAACACAATGGAAAAGATAATCTTGTGAGTGTCTGAAAACTTCCAGTGCCAGTTTTCACTAAATTCTACCAAAATATCTCTCCAATAGCTGCTTGTGGACTTTCTAGGTTTATTCAGTGTAATCAATACAATTATTGGAGATATTTTTTTTTTGCTCCGTGACAATGTATGGAGACATGGCCATTAGCTGAGACAGGACAGAGAGCTTGGGCCTGCAGTAGTGCCCACAGCCATGCAGAGTTCCTGGAATAACCTTAATTTCAGTGCAAAAATAGTTCTAAATTACAAGTTTTGAAGTCAGAAGCTGAATTTGAGAGCTTTAAAGCTCAAGTCATACAGCCCCTGAGGAGGGAGATGCTTTTATTTGAAGGACCAGGGATGCACCTACTGCTTTGTTTTTGTAGGATGAGCAAGGTTTCTGAAGCCACTCTTTATCTTTAAGGAGTTTTACTAAAAATAAAATAAAAGCAGCTTCTGATGTTGCCCATGCCACCCTCAGAAAGCAGAACTGGACTCGAGGAAGATCAATAACCTTTAGCAGTTGTTGATTGTGTTATCAGCCCATCTTTTGGAGGTGCTGGTGATGGCAGGGTGGCACTGAGAGCTGCTGCTCCCTGGCACCAGGCTGCACTCCCTGCTTGCCTTGCAGCCCAGCCCAGCTGGCTCCAGCGCATCGGGGACGTGCGCGTGGCCATGGAGGAGCGCGTGTCCTGGGAGTGCCGCGCCAGCGGCCGCCCCAAACCCTCCTACCGCTGGCTGAAGGACGGGGAGCCGCTGCTGCCACAGGTAGGAACTGCTGGGAACCCATGGGAATGAGGGGAGGGGGCTCTGGGGGTGTGTTATGGGGCTGAGTTGATCCGTTTTGGGGTGGGGAGGGTGAGGTGCTCTGAATGGTTTGGATTGGAAGGTTCCTTCAGGATCATCTCGTTCCACCCCTGACACCTCCCACTGTCCCAGGCTGCTCTGATGCCTTAGGATTTTTAGTTTCTCTATTTTCATGCATCTGTATTTTTGTACTTCTCTAGCACAGCACTAAAAACTCCCATTCTCCCATCTTTAGACAAAACAATCCCTCTGTGAGCTGAATCCAAGGACAGCTCAGAGCCCCAAAATATGGAAACAACAGTGAGTTGGGGGGAGCAAGTTTAGAGTAATTGAYRTCATCACCTAAAAAGATCATTAGAGAATTAAGACCCAATATGTTAATAAGGCAGAATTTATAAAAGGTGAAGATCTCGTGACTCAGGGTCCATTTTGGTGTAGCCTCAGGAGGAGGCTTTGTCTGCCCTAATGTACCAGTAGCCCTGTTAGGCCTGGATTAAAGCTGTCTGTTCTCATTCTCTTAACTTTGTCTGACCTCTGTTTCAGATTAGCCTGATTGATAAAGCATCAGCTCCAAACCCCAATGTCCAGCCTGGCCTTGGGCACTGCCAGGGATCCAGGGGCAGCCACAGCTGCTCTGGGCACCCTGTGCCAGAGTAAATTTACCCWATTTAGTAAATTGGGGAATTTACCCTCACAGTAAATTCCCCAATCCCTTCCCATGCCTGGTGGGCACCTCCCTGCACCTCCAGGGACTGGCAGGACACGCAGCAGCTCTGCCTTCCCAAAATCAAGGACCCACAACACAAACCTAAGGCTGGAAAGAAGGAGGAGGAATGGCTGAATGGGGTTCTTGACACTGTCACCAGAAAATGATAAATTAACCAGAATTAGTTATTTTAATTTAGGATGTTCAGAKGAAGTCTGAACAAGTCCCTCCTGAGGGTCAGCACCCAGTCCATGACCCYTCCTTGTCACCACAAACCCAACCAAGGCACCAGAACTCTGCTTTCACAGTAACCAGCACTTGTTCCCCTTCACTCACCACGAAAGAACACGGCAGCCAGATTTGATCAAACCCTGATCAAAATTGCACAAACATTAAATTTCCGCCCTAAGGCCAAGTAGAAAACCAATAGCTCTTTATTTTAGAATTTTTTTTTTTTTAAAATGTCAGACTCCCGGGGAGGGAGGGAACACTTTGCTGTACTTATTAGAATTGATACCACGAGCTCCATATCCTTAGGCTGACAAATGATAGCCTGGTTTCCCATTCCCCACGCTGATTCTGGGTGTTTCACGCTGGTCACTGGCAGATGGGCTTGTTCTCAAATCACGTTAAGGGCTGATACGAAGCAAAGGATCATTAAATTATTAACATCTACATTGTTTTCTGTAAACTGCTGAGGATTTTAAGTGTTTCTGTCTGCGCTGGCTTTGCCATATGTACTCAAAACAGCCTCCAGCTGTGCCAGGGGAGGCTCAGGTTGGACACCAGGAGGAATTTCTGCATGGAAAGGGTGGTCAGGGATTGGAAGGGGCTGCCCAGGGAAGTTTGGAGTTCTCATCCCTGGAGGTGTTCAAGAAACACCTCTTTGTGCCACAGTTTAGTTGATGTGGTGRTGTTTGGTCAAAGGTTGGACTCGATAATCCTGGAGGTCTTTTCCAGCCCTAATGGCTGTGATTCCATGGAAATTCCATTGTCTGGAATGTTTTTGAGGACGGGGCTGGCTGTGATGTGCCACTGTGGAACAAAAGTGCATTTCTTGCTTCAAGCTTATCTGCTTGAAAGGGATATTAATCTAAATGCTTTGGGTATTAAATCAATCAGGGGTCAAGGGAAAGCCCTCCCATTTAAATTGCATTTACCAGCTCCTCTATTGGTTTTATTGTTTWGTTTCTAAGCTGACATCAATTTGGGTGGCAGACAAATAAATTGGAGCATGCAAATTCATCCTGTTGCCACTACTTTGTTTTGTCCACCTCGCTGTAAAATACASCCCAGCAGCCTCTGGGCTCCTGTTYTGAGGAGGCATCTGGTGGTTTATTGATAAATTTGTGTGGCTGTTCCTCCAGGGCAGGCTGCAGCTGGAGCAGGGCTCTCTCACCATCCCCAACGTGAGTCTGTCGGATGCTGGGATGTACCAGTGCGTGGC